GTAGGATTATAAAATTAGAAAAATAAATTAGATTAAAAAAAAATAATATAGACATCTTTAGAAGGAATTTAAGAGTAGTTTCTAGCAAATTTTATCTCTAAAATCTTAAAATTAATATTCGAAAAAGACCAATTGTGAACTAGAGTCAAAGTCATATCTTAAGATATGAAACTACAAACCTACAACAATTCTAAAGTTCTTATGTTGATTAAAGAGATAAATTTAAGAGAAAACTAAATAAAGATTTTTTAACTATTCATTTTAGGTGATTTGAGTTTGTAATAACTTTGTAAGAGCTTTGCAAAGTGAAAGTTGTTTTGGAGTGATTTTGATTCTTATCAAATAAAAAGAATTTATACTTTGGAGTATTATGTGCAATTTGTGATAGATTTATACATAAAAAATTATAGATACATGATTATAGTTGAATTAAATAATTATTTTATTTTTTTAGCTTAATTGAATAAATACATTTAAGACTATTAGAATTAAAGTAAGTCAAAATCTTGAAAATTGGATTTAAGAGGATCAGTGAGGATATTTGAGATTTGTAACAATTCACCTTTTGAGAGTCCAACAAGTTTAACAAATTTGAGATCAATTACACAATGAAAATAAGATATAATAGTATTGGAAGATTGGCATTAAGAATGGAAAAAGAAGCCAGCTGACACTTGAGTGGTGTTGTATTGTAACACAATTATTAGGTGAAAAAAAATGATTATTTTAAAAGATATCTTAATTGAAAAAATTATATCAAATTATCTTAGAAGTATAGATAGTAGTCAAGAAGGTAGTAAAATTAGTAAGTACTAATATTGCTTCTACTTACTTTGTACTATGATAAATGAGATAATAAAAATAGATAAAAAAATGACTAATGTAGAAATCTTTATAAAAGAATTAAGAGTAATTTTTAGCAAAAATTATGTTAAGAAATCAAGGATTAATATCCAAAGAGGACAAATTTTCAATCAAGGAAAAAATCAGATCTTAAGGTATAAATTTGTACATCTATAGCAATTTTAGAGATTCTTTTAACATAATTACATACATAATATTTTGGAATAATATTTGAGTCATCTTAAGATTGGTTGCTTAAGAAAGATGAAACCTTTGTCAATTTGATGCTATCACAAATTTCTTTTTTAAATTTAAAAAAAAAAAAAAAAAAAAAAAAAAAAAAAAAAAACTAGATTTAATGTAAAAAAATTAAAAAAATTGTGATTAAATTAATTTATGCCATGTATAGATTAAAAAAAACTCTTAGAGATTGATATTCTCAAATTAACTTGTTCCTATTACCTTGTTGCATGATAAAAAGTAATCATAATTTAGATTTATATTATTCAATAATAAATAGAAAATATACTATAATATTATTATATGTCCATGATGTCTAAATAATCAAATACAACAATTTTGATATTACTTATATAATAGGATGTATGAGCATATTTATTATCACTCTTCAAGAATCTCATTTAATTGCAACCAAAATAATTCTAAAGTATTTAGAAAGAATAAATAATTAAAATTTATTTTTTCCTAGAAAAGAAGGCTTAGTACTCACTATCTTTGCAAACATCAATTGTAATTGATGCTTGGATACAAAAGATCTATTTTGAGTCCCACAAATTCATTTTAATTGGTAGATTAATTAAAAACATAGTTTTAAGTCAATTAATTATATAAATATAAATATTAGAGAATTTTTTTGACTATCCAAGTATTTATTATAATTTATAAGTATTTATAAGTTACAAATTTCTTATTAGAAGGGAAGTTATAAAAATAGAATCTTAATAAGTCTTAGATGCAATTATCTTAGTTAGTTTAGTATTTTTCTTATTTTTAAGTATTAAGAATTAATTATTAAGACCAATATCTTCATTGAATTCCTATCTACATGTATTACTTAGAAAAATCCTATCAATAATTAGTTAGTGGTTAGAAGAAGCATGAAAAAGAACTTCATGTCTTTTTAGTTAATTATATAAAAAATAGGATTTTTAGTAGATTTAAATTAATTTTATTACTATATAAATCACCAAGATAGAAAAATACAGAATTATATGGATATTATTATTATAAAAATATTATAAGATATTTTAGAATTTATTTAGAATTTATTTAGAATTTATTTAGGATTTTTTATGAATTTTTAGAGAAAATTTTAAGCCCTTGAAAAAATTGAGTTTTACCACCTTGAGAACCATTATGAAGAAATGAAGCAAGATTTGAAGGCAACACAAGGTTTCTAGACTAATTGGATGTTTTTAAATTCCATGGTGAAGTCAAAAATGCAAAAAAATAGTTTTACTAATAGAAAAAGGAGGACTAGCAGCTAGTATAGTCCTTATAGGAAGAGAGGTGTACAATTCCCATATGGGTTGTAGCACCTTGGGTATAGGTAGGAAGATAAGACTAAGACCTCAAGCCCTCTTTAGACAACCAATATACACTACTTGTGAGCCTTGATGAGGCTCGAACTCTTGATTTCATAAGCAAGTTATCATTGAGATAAAAATTATTCACTTAATTTTTCTATTATTTATATTTTATCTTTAATCTATCATAACTTACTCATGGTAATTTAAAATTACATGATTTTTATATCATTGAAAAGATTAAAAAATCATCTATCTAAAAATATAATTTTTTACTTTTAATTTTATTTTTTCTAAATACAAATCTAGTGAACATATTGTGACTTAGTTTTGAGTGTTGTAATTATTTGATTTCATTTCTTTCACTTGTATTGTGGTTGTTCCTCTTGGTTTTTGTCAATTGCTTACTTCTCTTCACACCACCAATTACAAGCAACTCTTAATTGAGGCCATCTTATAATTAGAGTTGAGGAGTGAAATTTACACTCACATCTATCTTTGGCATTGTATGCAAATTTAGAGAGATTTTAATTGATAAGAACTCTAAACATCAATGTATTGTTATCTTAAGCATTACAAATACAAAATACATTGTATTGATGGATGTTACTTATGATCTTGTGTCAAGGACATGAACTGAAAGAAGATGCATAAACTTAAAAATTCTATGTTAAAAAAAAATTGATAAAATAGTAATAAAGTAGTATATATATTAAAAAGAAACTGTAATGGCTATTGCCAAAAGTTAAGGAAACTAGAGACTCTTAAATCTAGACTAGAAGCAAGAAATGAATTGACAAGAGTGAAGAGGGCTTTACTCTTGCCTCTATATATACTATCTAATTAAGAGTTACATGGCAATGTTCAATAGGACCTCTAATATGTGTTGACTTTGCACGACACATGCCTTAGCTTACAAGGCAAGTTTTCTATGTGTGGGCCACATAGTTAGCTTATTCTTCAAGCTACTAACATGTGTGGCACATGGCCAACTTGTTGATAGCGTTTCTAACCTAAAAAATCAATTATAGATACCTATAAAATCAAATCAATGTCTATGAAGCTTCTAAGAAGCTTATATAGAAGATATTATGGAATTAATCTATTTTTATTTACTTTTATTTAATCATATAGGTAATTATTGGTTTACATGTGTATGTCTATGATACCATGTCTACTTTTAATGCTTATTGCATAAATTATAAATAATGGAAGAAGAACCAATTAAAATCTTAAGTGATAATTAAAATTATATAAAATTATTTTCTAATATAATATTATATATAATGATAAAACATATTAAGATATAATTTTATTTTATTTGAAAAAAATAAAATAGATAACATCCATATAAATTATATTTATATCTTTTAATAAGAAGTAATTTTTTTATTAAATCTATGTCAAAAAATATCTTTTTTAAATTTAAAGAAGTCCTTAAGATACAAAAGATTTGTTTATTTGAAATCAAAGAAATTTAACATTAATCTATTTTAGAATTGAATTGTCAATTTAAAGTGATTTTTTACTAACCATGTGCTTGAAGTATAGAATTCATAGATTAATCTTATTATATCCATTATTCCTTCATTGTTAGGATTGACAAAGTAATTCTCCCAAAATTGAAAATTACTATATTAAATTTTAGAAACATAAGAATTAACTCTTAGTACTTGTTTCACTTCAAGTGAAGCATAACTTATTGATTCAATTTGAGAAGAAAAGAAAAAATTGTTGCTTTCAAATAACAAAGATATAATAGGTTGAATCTATAATTGACTCATAAGATAAATGTTGTAAGGCATCTCTTTTCAAATTGGTTTTTAGATAGAGTTGAAAATTAATTGCACCTAATATGCTTAGAAAGTCTTTTAAAACACTCAATTACATAAATAATGGTTTAAACCAATATCAAGACACAAGGACAATGAAGTAAAACAAAGAAATTCATATAGCTACAAAGAAAACCTTCTATTGTATTAATTTTAATTTTTTACATTGAAAAAAAACAAAAAAACAAACAAAAAAACAAACAAAAACAAACAAACAAACAAACAAACATATGCTTAATTCAAAACTAAAGACAACATCTACAAGAAAAGGAAAAAGAAAATACTTATTATCTTCAAGTCATCAACTTGAAACTGTAGAATCCAATAGCATCAAATGAAGCTATTGTCCAAAATGATCAAATCCTCAAAATTTCCATGATATGATTATGTTTGGACTTTTTATTTTTGTGGGATAAATCATGCTTTACTCTTTTACAAAACATAGGAAATTCTAGATTTTACGGTAAATATCTTTGGAGGTCCAACAAACCAGCAGAATTTTGGGTTTCAACAATATCGGCATCAATCTTACGGTGAGGTTGGCCAGTGCTTTACGTTTTTCGAATTCTACTTTAATTTTAACTGGAAAAGCCATCGAAAAGGAGGACCCAGATATTTTGAACGGACGACAACAGCGCCGCCGAGAATCGCCGTCGGGGTGCGGACAAGGACTTCGACGGTGCTGGAGGGGGGGGGGCACTTTGAGAGGTAGAGAGCAGTGGCGTGCATGGAGGGTGGGAGAAAGGTGCCTTGCGCCATAGGCGGCTTCTTCCTCTACCGCCCTTTCAAAGTCCTTTTCGCCTCCTTATCTACACCTCGGATCCCTGTCCCCTTCTCTCATGGCTGAAGTTATCCATTTTTTCCTGAGAGCCGTGAGCATCCGCTGTTGTGAGGTGGTACAAACGAATTTGATTGCTCCGTGAATCTTCGTGATGTGAATGCCAACCTCCATTTGATCGTATGTACACTCGAATTCGCTGTGGTGTGTAGTAATTCCCTTGCTTTAGTCTTTCATCTTCACAATTTGGCCCAAGGACAGCAATGGTGTGGAGCAAGATTTCGCTCCCTCAGTCCTGATTTGTCGTCGTTCTTTGCTTTAATTGTGGTAATGCAGAGTATTTTTGTATCGATTTTCTTTTTCTTTTTCTTGTGAGACTGAGACCAGTTCAGTGCGTATTACTTGCTAGGTTCCACTGAAGAGCACGGCTTCTTCTTTTCGTCTGTAGCTCAAAGTGTGCTCTGCTTCTCAATTGGCTGTGGTACTTCATGTCTAATACGGAAAAGACGCCATCTCATTCTGTTGCATATTTGCTCAGTGTTGGCATCTTTGGTCAGCCTTTGAGATCGTTGCCTGGTTTTGTTTGAGATTTTTCCGTCTATTTAATCCTCTCATTTCTGTTCATACTCCGCTTCTTCTGGTGCTGCTTCTTTCAGCCTAACTTTGTGAGGCTTGACCTGTAACATTTCAAACTTAGCTATGTACTCTTCAATTTCGTATTTTGTGCAAAAATGAGCCTAGCAGGTTGACACAAGATGTGTGGGATGTACACATTAAATGATCATTTTAGGATCCTTGGGTACTAATCATATTAAGAGTTTCCAGTGTTTTTCTGTAACTTGTAAAGTTCACTGCTTCACATATTCTAGTTTCTCACAGTAATCACTTAATTTTTCTTTTAAGCTCATCTAGTCTAATTTTTCTGCCAAGAGCACAAATTCTTTGTGACTATTAGCGACGAGCTGAGAACGAAAGTTCGTCGTTGGGTGCAGGAAGGGTCTAGGTTGGAGATATCTTTTATTGCCGATACTTCCGCCAGGTGACTGGCATTATGGATTGTTGAAGTGATGCTTCCTTACCTAAAGGAATTGGTGAAAATATTTCTAGACCGAAAAAGAGAGTGATGGATGTGGTGGTGAGCCAAACGATGGGCGTTGTGCTGCCTGCTCTCTCACCACCACCAGTGACGCAAATCTTGGGAACCTCGCTACTAAGTAGCAAGCGTCTGGTAGCTGGGAGGATTTCTTCATCGCGGTTTCTTCATGTGGCTGGCAAGCACGGGTAGGATTTCTTATTTTGAGTTGCTTCTTTTCATTTGCATTTGAATATTTGTAATTGATATGTGTGTTGTACTCCTCTTAATTGGATGGTCTAGATGATCTTGTGGATTTTCTCTCCCGTCCCTTCGCGCGCATATCGTAGACGGAATGAGTTTGGCATAGTTGTCCAAAGTTGAATGACAATTTGGCTCATCATGACATCAAAAATAGCACGAAGTAGGGTTTTCCTCCATTTTCTCTACTTACGTGTATGTTTGCAAAAATGAATTCAGCGCCGAATCGAAATCTGTTACTCGTAGACCTACATAGTGTAGATTCACAATCTCACAAGTTATTATTTTCTGCAGGTTGCTGAGAGAGAACTTGCTTGTGACATGTGCAACGGGCGATCAAAGCAAGAGCAGTACAATAAATGGTAATCACGGTTATTAGTATTGAGTATCGACATTCGTCATGAACCTTACATGCAATTTGAGCTTTAGGCTTAAAGCTAAATATTCTTTAGAGATCTCTATGAAATATCATCTAAATTTTTTTTGGCGCAGGTTCTGCAAGTGAGGAAATGCTAGACTACTACGATGTTTTAGGTGTGTCTGTGAACGCCTCACCTGCGGATATTCGCAAAGCATACAGACTTCTACAAAAAAAACATCATCCAGACGTTGCTGGCGTAGAGGTACGTTTCGTATACTGTACAGGTTTGTTTATTTTACTTCGTGAATCTAGAGTATGAAGGCGCAATATCTACTTGTAATTTCCACACCTCTTCAGCTTGGTTTGAATCGGGCTACAAGTATGCACCGTTGGTACCCGGGATGCTTCCTTTGGTGTATATGCTTATTGATTCCGAAGATGTGGTCCTATCATTTGTAAATACTTATAATGTGCCCTGTTGCAAGCAGGGGCATGCAATGACACTATTATTGAACGAAGCATACACAACTCTGATGGACGTCAGTCTTCGAGGGATTTACAATGAAGCCCACTCTCACAAAGCGGCTATGCGGGCAGCTGGGCACACCACGTTCACCGGATCACCTTTCAGTCAGTGGATAGGGCCGGATCGGCCTCAAGGAATCTTTGTTGATGAAAATGTTTGTATCGGTGAGTTTTGATGTGCATTGTATGTTTTTTAGTAGTTTTGGAACTGGAAAATAGAACATTGAGATTACTCTTGAAACAGTCTACGGGTCCAAATGTTTGATAACGATGAGTCATCCGTGATTCTTGTCCCACATTCATGACGTATAATATAATTTTTGTCAGGATGTCGAGAGTGTACCTACGCAGCCTCTAAAACGTTCAGCATGGATGATGCGGAGGGTACAGCTCGTGTGATCAAGCAGTGGGGGGATTCCGAACCAGTTATTAAGGTCCTCTCTTTTATCCTGCTTATGTTTCTCCTCTTATTATCACAGCAGTTTCGTTATTTACATTATGTGAATACTGGAAAAGTATAGAGATATTGGATTGGTGAGAATACGCTTTCTTTCTCTGGCTTACTTACTCTTGGATATTTAACAGGTAGCAATAGAAACGTGTCCCGTCAACTGCATCCATTATGTAGAGCGAGAAGATTTAGCGGTGCTTGAATATCTTATTCGCCCGCAACAGAAGGAAGGCAACGGTGTATACGGTGGTGGATGGGATCGTCCAAAGAATGTCTTCATGGCTGCGCGCACATTCAAGCGCCAAATGGAAGAGAAGAAGTCTCGCAGTGCCCGTAGAGCTCTGATCTATAACTATCGTCTTTGAATCGAGTGTTTTCTTTGTCAACCTGCTGGATGGAAAATTTCACAGGATTGTGATTTGAACCTTGCTTTCTCCCTCATGATAACGAACAAGTATTTTGTTCGCCATCATTCTGATAATCACATTTTGATATGCACTATTTCATGCTTTTCTCTGATTCTGACAGGGTCTACAGCGACGGAAACACCTGCGCAAAAGCAGGCTCGCCAGGAAGCAGAATTAAAGATGAAGGCAGGAGCATTTTGGAGGTTTTGGTCATGGAGTTCGCGACCTATGCCATGGCAGCAGAATGCACCGTCGAATCCAGAAAACAATGCTGAGAATTATGAATGGCCCTGGAAAGGTTTATTTGGTCGTTCTTCCACATCGGAACTACTGAGTATCCTTATTCTTGAAGCAGAACAATCTAAGGTAGAATTGATTACACGTACATAGCGCTTTTTTTTCTTGACATTTTTTTTTTTTAATTCCACAACAGTGGTTAGAAATCACTCTGTTTCCGAGCTCTTAAGCCCAGAACAGTTTACTCTGTAGCCTGGGAAGAATACGCACTAATCTTTTGTTAGTTATATGTGACCAGGTTACTTCTTTAGTTCAAGACTGGGCTACTACTTTTGCATCGTCAAGTGAGATACCTCTTCCAATGCCATTCCGAACAGACTTGCTGCCGAATGGAGTTCGACTGACCCTCGTCACAGCTGAAAACGGCATGCTATCATCTATAGGGGCACTGGTGGCTACGGTTGAACAAACGCTCGATGACACCAAAAATATTGAAAATGTCGCCTTGGATGAACCATTTGGTGCCGAAATTGAAGCAAGGTTCATGTTCATAGTTAGAAGGGAAGGGGTCACAGGAACTGGGGCATTACCTGGCGAGGGGCGTATTCTGAAGCTAATAAAAGAAGTGATATCTGGTCGAGATTCTTCTTACTCTGCGTACAGCATACCTCGGAACTAAGATGATGAAGGGACTTACGATTGATCGATCCCATACCCCGCCATAATCTGTCGACTACATCTGTGTAGGTACCAATTCTTGAGATCATTAGATGATGTTCCAATTGTAACACGATTGTATAATATAGCGTCTTTTTGGAGGTACGTCAATTATGCAATGGATGAGATTCACCCCGTCTTTTGAACCAGTGTTATTCTTCCCTTGAGTTCGCAATTTTGAACGTATAGAAATCTGTGGAAGTGATATAGGAACAAGGATTCAGAGTGTTCGTGCATTTTATGGTTGATCATCCACAATTATTTTTGCTTCCATTTGGCCTCATCGTCACGACCGTTTTGCCAGCCTAGTTGGTGACCTGTGGTGCCACTTATCCACGACCGATGACAGTTACAAGCCTTTCTCATTATCCCATGTGGGTAGGAGACGAATCGGTTAGGTCCGTTGTATAAATACCCTGTTGGACGTCTCAGAACTCACTTACCTGGGCGGGGTCGATCCATGATCAGCATGGTGGATGGCCTAGGTCAACTGTCGCCATTGCACTTCGGCCGTGGGAGCCCTAGTATCTCTCTACGGAGGGCATACACGTCATAATTTGTGGCAGCGAGGGCTCGCGTTCGCGCGGCCCTCTCCCAAAATACCATTAAACTGGATGTGAGACTAATTTCCGTGCGTAGCACAACCTCGACTCAAAGAATGGTAGGCTCAGGTACTGACTACTCGTATTATGCATGCGAAGTTAGACTCGATGAGATCTGAAACTACGTGTTGACATAGAGGAAGCACAGTTGAGGTTCCGGCGAGATTTTAACTGACGTTACGGGATTCCGAGTTCAATGTCCTAACCGCTAGACTACGGGACCAGAAACCGTGATGGGAAGCGGCTTTTTCATGATGGCTTTGAAACTAAACATTGTAGTTAATTTAAGTATGTTGACACTCAATGATTCTCAATTGCCCATGGAATTAAGTGATGAATGCTGTGTGATGATTATACCAACCAGGACACCTGGCTTGGACTTCAATCATCCTCTAAGACTGTTGAAAGACAATGCAACCAACATACAACTCAATGAAACAGTTGTCTAAATGATAAAGTATGATTCAATTAGATCAATTATCAAGGAAGATGTCTTGCTGGAAAAGCTATGTTTTGTGTATGTTGCTAGAATTGGTGCTTGACATCTATGCTGTTAATGAATGGTGAGTAATGAGGATATCATGCTTGCTGTTCAGACCACAGAAATCATGCAATGAATAGGGAGAATATGCTAGCAATTAAGACTGATGACCCAAAACCCAGACAAAGAAGCAAGCCATCTGTTATTTGCAGAAACATAGAACTTGCAACCAAAATTTCTTTAAACGTACAATGTTTAATGCATATTTTCTCCATATTTTTTTGAGGATCTTTACATTTAAAACTATGAATTTCTTCCTCTTCTTGAAATGTTTGGACAATATATACTTGGTCCCATAACAAGCGTCAAGTCTAGGGAGTACATGGGAAGTGATATGTATCAAAGAATATTACCCCCTATCTTATTACCCCCTTCTGAGTTCATTAGATTTTCACTAACTTGAAAATTCTCAGCTATAATCCTTTCTGCTGAAATACAACTTATTTGTTGACTGGTGGCAGAGATGTGTGATTACAACCGCTATATAGAAAAAGTAGATCAGGTGTGCATATGGTGTAGTAAGACTCTTCAAGACCATGTGTGAGTTACGCACTGGAAATCAATGCAACACACAGTTTAAGTCTGATGTTCAGTTTTAATTACAAACCTCGCAACAAGAATCAAAGTCCTTTGGCTGTGGTTGTAGTCCATGGTACAAGATGGATGAGGGGACTTCGTTTGCACCTAGCTTTTGAAATAAGGGGATGAAAACGGACTCGAGTAAATGTAACCCACTAAATGTGCCCATAGACAGATTAATGGACTGTTTGACTATTACAACTTGTTCCCAATTCATGCAGAGTACAACAAGGAGAGATTCTGATTCAAAGTACTAAATCCTTCCAAAACCTTCTCCAGCTTAAAATCAATTACCTCCAGTAAGTGTAGTTGTGGGGCTTGACTTTCGTTTGCGAAGGTCACTCTAGTTTCAACATGCTCTATATGTTGTGTTAAAAGGTTCATCATCAGCTCCGCACTGTGTTTCATTACCTCCTCTCTTTCATCTGATGCCTATCACCACATTTTCCAGTACCTCCATTAGCTTAGTATGTACGCATCATACAGTCGACACCACTAACACACGGAGGGAAATCATTTTGTCACAAACGTTTCAACCAGCACTAGAAACTTCAACACAATGAAACACATAGTATAAAGCGGCTACAATTGAGCTTAAATCACAATAAATCTCTGAAATGATGGATATTTGCTACGTAATGCAACGACTAACCTGAAGCTGCTCTAGCATTAAGCGCTGCATCTTCTTAATTGCAGCACTTGAGTCGCTTATTCTTTGCTTCACAGGCTGCATTTCTCTACCCAGTACATTTGACGGCTTGCCCTTCAGCTGTTCAGCAATTTCTCTACTGCCAGCAGAACCTGTCGTTTTAGTTACCATTGATTCAAGGTTCTTACCTGACACCTCAAGCCAAACATTGTAGAACTTTGGTTTTAGAAGTTCTCTTCCTGCGATGCTTGGGTTCCATAATGGATCGGTTGCTGCAGCTTTGGCAGAGGTAATCCTGAAACATATATTTAAAAATAAATAAATAAATAAATAAAAAATTAACAACCACACAAAACGATGGTCCATGAAGGCTACACACCAGGGCTTAAACATGCACCGAACCATCTCGTACAATAAATACCAACAATAACAGAATTATGAATGACGACTGCGTGGCAAGGTTCACACACATAGTCGGGTTCTGGATGGGCTGCAAACATCTGGTTGAATTTTATCCATTAAAGGTTACATGCTGCAAGAGCACTGAATCAAGTTAAGCACTAATGGTGTAACAATGTTCACGAATTCTCAAGTACCTGTATTCTGAACATTCACGCCTAACACTCCAGTACTTGCTCTGGCATTGCTTCTTAGTGAAATGATTCCCAAACCTTGCTTGCATGGCTTTTAGTATGGGTGTCCATTTCTTCTGATATTTGACTTGGCCTTTACTCTCTTCCCATAAGCGTTGGTGTATGGCATCGTATGCCTCGAACAGGAATCGGACAGACTCGTCTGTCCATGTTACATTGCCATCGGCATCATGACCCGCTCTTTTTCGCTTTCTGCTTAATGCTTCTTTCTTGGACTCCTCACTGTCAGAGTCGGATTGTGAGGTAGATCCTGAAGCCCCGTAGTCCTCGGGAAGTCCTTGCAGTCTGCCAGGTATAGGTTTCTGTCTTGGCTGAAAAACATAGGAATTAAATTCGTCAGCGACATTCTTGGGACTACCTGTTAAGTAAAATTTTGACAGTATGTACTTTAATCGAAACCTGATCACATCTCCATCCATAAGGCCAGACTGATAGTATCCTTCGCGAATAAGGAGCAGAAGGGGAGGGGGATAGAGAACACAGTAAGCTCCGTTTCTTATAAAATGGTAGCTAATAACTTACCATGACTCCATCTAGTATGTGTCCCGCCACTTGAATATTTTCACTTTCCTCTCGCTTCACTTCTCCAATCACAAAATCTGCAGTTCACAGTGCTGGAAAATTACGTTGAGACAACTTGATTAACTGAAATCTTGTACGCCTCTCATCAGTTAATCCTGATGAACCAACGTATTCTGTATCTCTGACCATTTAATAAATGTGTATTATAATATCACTCCAGTGACATTGGAGGTTATTAGGTGTGCAGCTGGATAATACTGAGCCGTAGAGAGGTCCATGATAGAAACCCTAAGGAAAACCGAGGTAACGGGGTAAATTATGTTGCTAACTTTTCATTACGCTGGTTTTTGCAACTTTCTTCACTTCGATGCTAGCAACCTGAATATCTAGGGGTTTCGTATCATGGACTGCAGTGTGGGAGGATCCTACACTCAATAGCACTGTACTGTCTGGAAGGACTGATTAATTGTTCTGGCGAAGTGGTCCCCGTTCCTGTGCGTGCTATGTTTACCAGGAGGCCAGCTCATTTCAATGCTTTATTTATTGAGTTGTGACGTCATGACAAAACACATGCATGATGGTGAATTCCGTCAGCAGTAATTACCATGAATTTTTTACGAACACGGAAATCATCAATGGAAGGGTCTTGAGAGTAACTTGAAAAAATTGAAATTGACAGCAAAAAGAAGTATCTATGAGACACTTGGAATCAATTGAGCACATCATCACAAAAATAGAGACGCAAACCTCCAAACTTTCTCCAGTTCTCCGTCTCGAGGTTCGTGCCATTTGCCCATTCCTCCTTAAACTCACTAGGAGGATCAGCTTCCACCTCGGTCAGTACACCGTCACTTGCACTGCTGTCAAGAGCCCGAGAGAGACCATTGTGTCTATCACCACAACGGAGCTGCAAGTTTTCATATGCTTGAGCATAATCATTCACAGAGTTGGCCCGCTCAATGACAGGCTCATTTCGGAAACCTGCATGTACCGGCAAAGGCGTGTCCGACTGCAACCTCCCGCTAGACTGCCGGTTTAGTCCAAGAAAGCCGTGCCTACTAATCCGCGCTGAAGCGGCTTGCTGCAGCGGCTGCGATGGGGAGGTGAACAGCAATTCCGATGGCGAAAACAACCTCAGATCATCACCAATACCGCCACAATTGATCGTATCCAAATACATCGGCGCCGATAATTCACCATTACAACCCTCTGCTCTAACACCACCGCCACTTTTCAACACCGCGCCTCCATCGCCATCCTGGACAAAACTCTCCACGACAACGGGCTTCGACCTCCTTCCGTAGTGGCTCCCCCAAACACTCCCCGCCCACCGCTGATATTCCTCATCCTGCTGCAACATACTCTGGTAGCTCATTTTGGAACCAATTCATCGATCCACAGATCCGCAAACACTCGATGCACCTCAACCGCCACCTCCAGTAACATGACAAAAAGAATATAACGACGGATCGAAAAAAAGACAGGCAAAAAAAAACGCAAAAAAAATACTACTCGCGCCGCGCTTCTTGCTGCAGCTGCTTGAGCCTCGCGCTTGAGGCGGGAGGAGGGGGAGGCTACTCAAAATAGGCTGCTGCAAGGCACAAAACTTCATAGCCACATATGGCTACTAATAGTAACATTCGGCAACCACAATGAGAAGGGAGGCGCCATACCAGTGGGCCTAAACATCGGCGGGCCCCGCGCTCAGAGGTGGAGTATTGGCTCTCCCCAGCGGGGCTGTCATAGTGAGCGTCGGCATTGTAACTCGATGTGCCGAGCTCCGTCATGCGGTGCGTAAGGGCGGCACATCTCGTGCGGCATAGAGTCAAACAGCCTATAATTAGGCCCTCCTCCTCTTGTTGCTCCTTTACAATACAAAAATTAATACAACATACAATACTTCGAGATAGTCATTCATTTTCCCTTCTTCGGCTACTTCGATTCAAGATAAGCACGACAGGATTGGCCCGGCGTCTGGCAAAAGCAAGAAGTTCAGGCACCAATACCTGACCACGAAGGAACCAATGAGAGAATCGATGCGGGTATGGGCCCCTTAGACTGTCTGAGACTGCGAAGCCGTGAAGGAAATTGGTGCACGGTATTGGGACACCCCTACGATTCGCACCCCATAACCGTTCACCCCTTAAGCCGTGTGCGCGCGTTCTGCAATTGCAACTTTTTCCCATTAAGTTAGTTGTGATGTAAAAGAGGCAACAGCTTTTTTATCACCTTCGATATTCGTTTTTTTTCTTACTTTTCGTGATGTTTGTCTGATATGCTGATTGGGAATATGGAGGTACTATTCTCAACCCATACAAGTATTCACAAAAAAATCGCATATGAGGGTTCAATTTTGTTCCCATCACAAAACATATATATATATATATATATATACATATATATATGCATACCTCCATGGTTACTTGCGTAACTATTATTTTTGCAAGATTCTGGTAAAGTATGAATGTGTTTCTGTCTTTCTAAAAAATGACACATTTTTCAACTTTAAGCATTAAACATGGTTGGAAATGGATATATAAATAATACTAATAAATGCGTCAAAAATGAAATCAAATAATTGTAGAAGCATTGGCAGTGTTATTGTCAGCAGAAAGTATCAAAATGTAGTATGGTATTTTGAGCAACCTATTTTGAGCTGCCTCCCTCCTGCCTCAGGCACTAGCTTATTAACATATTTATCATTTTATTACTAACTGATGATATGTTATAACCATGTTTGAGAACTTATTTAATTCACTGTAGTTGATTATATGAATGCAAATGAAATAACTATAACAATAAATATAAAATTAAAAAAAAAAATCATTTTTAAGATTTCATGGGAGTAACTTAAAAACTCAAAAAAAAAAAAAAAAAAAAAAAAAAAACTGATTTTGTTGATTCAACACAATATTTTTGGTCACTTTGGATATAGATATTCTTTTTACAATACTATCTTGATTATTAATTATTGATTGTCTTGTGTATCTGCCTAAATTGGTTAAATGTAAGATGCAAAACATTAAAAAAATATAGGGTATACAAATTTATTTTTGAAAATAAAAAAATAAAAAATGAACACAAAAATTCGTGACATTAAAAGTATTAAAAGACAATGAATTTCATAAAATAAGATTTGCTTATATATTATTGAAAATGCAATATCAATGGTTTGAATCCTAATTCAAATTGATTTTTTCGTTATTATAATTAGTTATCAAAATATATTGAATTCATTATCAAGAAACAATGAGTTCATCAATATAAATAATGAAAATATAAATCAATTAAATAAAAAGAAAAATAGAATTGATGGTCATACACTGATTTTCATTTGAAACCAATAAAAAATTACATTAAAAATGTATTTGACAAACATTGTAATTCTTTTAGTCTTTATATTCTTTACAAATCAAAACATAATAATGATATATTATAACAACCCTATTATCAATTCTTATGATCAACCATAAAATAATCAAGGTTTTATTAGATTTGCACCACTTTCAGTTTGTGTGCTAATCCTTAAAAAAATCAGTAAACAATATAAACATTTTATTTTACACTGATCCAGATTATAGCATAAAAGAAAGTTGAACGATTTTAAAACTACCGCTGTGTTGGTAATTCTAATAGTAATGCAATAATTATTATTTCGAGAGATAAAATTGGAAAAATAACATTTATTAGTGGGCCCAATTTACCTTAAAAGATTCTAATGTTAGGATGTGTAATTTACAATATTATAATATCAATTTATGGATATCTGATTACTTCTTTAAATATCTTAGTTAATATACAATACAAAATTATATATATCTAATATTTTTGAAGATAAAATGTATAACCTTCTTGTTAGCCAATCACACATTATAGTATCCAAGCATTGAAAAGTGAAAGGAAAAATAATTAAACATGAGTGAATATTTTTAAATAGATACTAATAAGATAAAAATATTTTCGTTGTCAAACATTATGGAAGTTTTCCAATTGTAAGTTGGATCTACTGCAAATATTTTTAGATGTACAATGTAGTCATAAGAAGAAACTAAGTATATATATATATATATATATATATATATATATATTTTCATGCTTAGAAAACTATTATAGAAGCATCTTGTAACTTGAATATTTGACTCATAAAATTTTTGGTTCTTAAAAAGCATGAACATAGCTTTTGTAGTAATTATAATATAAAGCAAGATAGAAGCCATCTTTAGTCTTTTCAATATTTTTTTTATACTTTACTCTTTATTTATAGTTTTTGTATATTTTAATCCATTCTTATTCTTTTATTATTATTATTATTATTATTTGATCTCATATACATTTTTTCAATTATCTACATATTGATTTTTTATTTATAATATATATATATATATATATATATATATACATGCTTAAAAATCAAGCAATAATAAATTTTAATTACTGGACTATACTAATAAAACCCATTTTATTACTATAAAAAGGCGAATTCCTTTATGTTGCAAGATTTAATAATGTTATTAATTGATGTTAATTATAATAAATGAGAAGAAAATTCGGAAGAAAGTACTTTTAAAGTGCTGCGGGAAAAAGACAAAAAGGTTTGAGGTGGAGGTCCTCACCATCAATCTTCAGTCTTTAAGGGATATGATTCTTCTCTTCGGCTCCGGAAAGTTTCGAACCCACGTTTACAGTCGCGAGAGTGTCCATCTGGGGTGGGGTGTTCTGTCAGGGGACAACTCGTGTGGCTGAGCTGCAGCGATGGACTTCGCGGGTATTTGTTACGACATAAGGCGTCCACCGTGGCAGAACTCACATGCCCCATTGAGGCTGAGCTGCATTCCGCGCTTTTCAGTATCCAAGTACCTCTAATCTTCTGGAGGTTCAGGGGATGCCATATTCTGTGGAAGGATTCATGGATTAGTGTGAGGTCTAGGTGTTGTGTTACGGTTTAAGTATTTTATTTTTTATTTTATTTCAAATTTCTGGTTTAAAAAATTAGTTTTCTTTTTATTCATTAGTTTTATCAATATTTTATGTCAGATTTGCTCTTTCAGAAAATTATATTTTATTTGATTTTATTTTATTTATCTAATGTGGCAGGTGAATTTGTTATGAACATGGAAGTTGTTATGTTGTACACCGGACATTCTTGGGTTTTGTGCTCTTATTCACTACCACTCATTAATGGGCATTAGAAAAAGCAGGTTTCATCTAGTGAACCTTCTAAAAGAACCAACATGAGCCCAAAAGAAAATGATGATTAAATGAGTAATTAATGTCCTTTTTGGAAATTTATTAGGTTTCCTATATAATAATACAATAAAAATAAAATAAAATCCGAAACTTAAATAATTCTAAAATTGGAAAAGGACTTGAGAGAACTTCTCATTGTACCTTGATTATTATTCTCTACAAATTATATATATATATATATATATATATATATATTCTAATGGAAACTCATGTTGTTGGCCACAAAATAGGTGGCCAATAGTAAATATTTGTGAGTTTATTAATTTGTTGGGAGTTTCTGAGCTCCGTGCTCAGTGATCTCCCAATGCTACCCTTAGTAATTTGCAGCAACAACATGGAGACTTTGATCTTTGATTGATCAAAAGTTCAATTGTTGTTTCACTCTTGCTTCACTTTTGATGAAAACAATGAGATATATAGCCAATCAAAGACGTTTTTCTTTTTTCTTTTTTTTCTTTTCTTCTCTTGTGGTTTATCTTGTTGGTTAATTCTCTAAGCTATTTTATATAAGAGATAGACTCCTCTTCTTTTTAAATTATTAATTTATTTTTTTATCCTTCCAAACATACATATAAATCCTTTGTTACATTGTATAGTTGTGGAGATAAGAGGGGTAAAAGAAAAATATACATTTTGGAATAACCCATATCATCAAATGGAAAACCATCATATTTTTTTTTAACCCAATACGAAGGTTCCAACAATGTGTGCATCTTCGAAGTACAGTGTGGGTTGTAAAGGAGGACCTCAACTAAAATGGACACCACTCATTTATTGTGATTTAACAAAATACTTTACCTACAGAATATTATATATCTGTATGTATATACATGAATATAAAGTTTTTTCTTTTTCTTTAGTGTCATGGAAAATGCATTGCATTTTATTTTTTTAATATTTGCACAAAAAATTAACAGTGTCATATTATTTCAATATTAAAAGGTTATCAGTTCTTAAAAAATCTTAAATGTTTTTAGGAGTGTGATTTTATTCTATTTTAGAAAAAAAATGAAAAATATTAAAAAAAAGTAGCAAAAATCCACAGGCTGGGGGATTGTACTTCCGTCCAATGTATCGATGCTACTCGTCTATGTTGGCTGAGGAAAGGGGCCGAACCTAACGATTCTGGCTTGCAGAATGAAGCTCGGTATGTTTTGTTTGCTTCAAGGGACGTATGCATCACATACTTGGATGTTTTGGTAACTCGTTGAAGCTCAACTTAATTGTCTAACATGCACCAACGGTGGGCACAACGAGGCGGAATGGGATAGTGTATGCCACTGGAAGCGTCACCACAAGCACAAGATCGTGTCGCTGATTCCTCAGTGGGCAAAGTATGCAAGGAAAATAACAAAAAACAAAAAACAATAACAGATGTTTTTGTTGCCATTTCTTCACAATATGAAACTTCTGGTTCGATACTCTAGATCGCCATTGGGTCAGCTACCAAGTCCAAGATGTATATTCAAAGACGCTGTTCTTAAGTTCCTTCCTTGTGCACTACAATTATTGGTAGGATGTTCATTCGCGTGTTTGAAACAAACATTCCACAACCTTTTTCTGGCTGTCCGTTGATGCTGAGAACCTACCTGTCCGTTTTCAGTAAGGATAGATCGAAACAATGAATATGAATTTTTCTTACTTGTTTTAAGCGATTCTAAGGTCTTGCTAAGTCGACCAAGACACTGGGGTTCTCAAGGTTGGTCGAGGATCCGAGCTTTATTCGGTGAGGCATATTCAAAGCGAAGAAAAAAAAATCACAATACGAGGGGTCAATTCAACTGCACACTCCGGAGTCTAGGCCATGGATATGGATATTATACATTTGATCTTCACGTCCCTCCCTTTCAGACAGCTCCTGTCGAAACTCTTCGGTGCTGGAGCCCACTCAGTTTATGTTCACCGCCGTATTCTATTCAAGTTTCAAAGTTCGACATGGACATATATGATGGTATTATTTGAAGCTTGGTTATATCCAAAGTTGCACTTCCAAAGCTACATCTCCACAACAGAAATACAGAAGGAAAAACACTGCAAGGGATCGCGAAGTCGTTGAGGCAGTTGTAGAAATCACTGCACCTCTGTTGAGAGAAAGGATGCAGGCCTCTGCCAATCCTCGTTCAAATCTTCCAACCCTTGTCTATGTGTCAGGACAAAGTGCGCCGATGCTGTGTCGCTTATTTACACAAGGTCGGCGGTACGTGTCCCAACAGAATAATCCACCGATGGAATAACAATGCCAATATAGAATAGAGTGTTGATTCGACTGGCCCACCGACTGGATATTAGCCGTCATGCTCGCAGTGGATGCAGCCGGAATGGTAGGATGCGGGAGAGCTCGCTTGAATATTGCCCCTGATCGTCCGATTGGAGTCTCTTTTGTCGATAACCCTACTTGCAACGACGAGCTTGTGGACATGTGTTGGAGCTTGGGGTTTTTTTCTATGTTGCAACCAAGACATCAGGTCATCTTCGAAGCGCACCTGGCGTGGTTCCTTGGCACAGGCGGGAGAAGTTTCACTCAGTTCTCCAGGTGGGCAATTCTTATTAATCTTATCTGCTGAAACCCATCTGCGAGGTGCCCGCCCTGATCGTAATGGCAGGCGATGTTAGCTCTTATTCTTCTGCTTTCGTTTTCTTGCTCTACACACTGTGCATCCTCCAACATATTGGCCCGCGATGTCGAACCCATATTCTGGGTTTTGGTGAGGTGATTAGTCGAAATCATTCCCTGTCAATTCTTGTAATGTATTCTGTCATTTACGCAGGCGCCAGTAAGGATGCCGGCAGGCACTTTGGACGTTTATCTAGACTGCGCAAAAGGTCTCAAGGACACCGAGATCATTGGTAACAAACTGTCAGAACTTAAGTGACAAATCTCTAGGTCTTGCATCGCAAGTTCTGTGATTACAAACTCCACCATCCTCGATTCTTTGCGTTTGTAAATTTATACGATGGATAGCGTTTGTGCATTGCATTCTTGCTGCTCGCTATCAATAGCTACCGTGTGATACAATCTATCGAGTTCTCATAAACTGACTCCATGGGTGTCTTGTCTAGGAGCTTTGTGCTTGCGCTATGCATTTGGTTTTCTGGATTGTTGCCCATGACCTAATTGTCATTCCTTATCAAACTTATGATGTATATCTTGATCCTGGAATTGGGCCTAACACTAAGAGTATTACCTTTCAGGAAAAGCAGATCCCTATGTAGTTCTGAAAGCCGGAAAAGCAACCGGGAAAACCAAGACTTGCAAGGGTAAGCATCCTTTGAATCCTTTCGCAGTAGACATTGCCTTGTTTGTGGCTAGGAGCTTAGCTATTGACTCCACCACTTCGTTATTATATGGTTTCCGCACACAACCCTTTCCCTTCGTCATGTAAAATCTGACATCAATCCATGGCTCTGTCTTGCAGATCAAGGTGGCTCGCCAGTGTGGGGAGAGAAGATTCGTCTTCACATCGCACCCGGCTGCAAACAATTGGTTCTGACGATCTTCAATGCCAACACATTTTATAAAGATGACATAATGGGGACAGCGACGTAGGAAAACCCATTTGCAATAACACCCAGTGAATCATTCCCATTTTCTTTTGCATAAATGAGCTTGGGAATTCTAAATCCTGATATTTCGTGATCGTAAACAATAAAAATCATGACATTCTACAAGCTGAAATGGGGATACTGTGTGCAACCACGCAGGATTACTCTGTCCGAAGTGTTTGATGCTGACAACAAGTTTCCGGATGGGACCTTCTTGAGCCCGTCGGCAGATTATCCAGTTACTCGCGTGGACGGGAAATCTCAGGGGAAAATCACACTCACGTTAGTCTTCGAGGAAGAAGGAAACAACCTAAACCTAGGGTTAGTGACTACCGACGCCCTTTCGGTTCAAGTTCGTTGTATTCTTCGTGTTGTAAAACCTACACCTATAGTTTTTTAAGCATTATCTAGTCACATCGACCTGAATGTCTCATGTTTTTTTTGCAGGGAATGAAACCTTGTAAGTATTGACCGGGAGTGCCCAGCTAGAAGGTTCAAAGACGCCGTTAGTCTTCTGCGGACATTTCAGGCGACAAGGTTAGACTAGAAGGAACACATAGACCAGATCTACATCGCTGAATTCATGAAGCTAGACCTAAGTGTCGCTACTAGCAATGCGCGGGGAGGGAGAGGATCTAGGGAAACCTCGTCTTGTGTAACTGTCGATCATCCTACACAATTGAGCTTCAGTGCGTAAATGACTTTCGAGTGAGTCATCGGACTCATTCTACATGTAACCGAAGCACTTTCTAAAACTTTTCTGATCCCCATCAAATCCACAGACACTCCACTCGTGTGTTGATGCCACCACACTTGAATTCTCCTGTGCATTGCAACCATTACCGATAGCTTCTTCTCGTGCCGTAGTACGCAAACCCAATCTCGTTTTTCCGCATCTTCGCCAGTAATCCAACCTTGCTGTCAACGAGGCAGACATTCTTCTTCCTTCGGCAACGGCACAAGCTTCCATTCCATACTAGAAACATGTTGAATTGTCCATTCAAGTCGCCATTTTTCGCGCTGTACTCGTTTCCTATTCCAACTGCCACAATTCGAATCACCGTCAATCGATTCGGTGACTTTATTGTCGGCATTACAGGATTATTTTATTTTAAAGAAAGACGGTAAGAGTGAAGCCTTGGATAGGACGCCTTAGAATTAACAGCCAGCTTTTCGAAGCTCAGGCCAAAACCCTAAATCTAGTGAATCTGAAACTGTCGTAGAAACGAACTGAATCCAGTTACGGATATCAATACCAACATTCACTTGCATTTTGCAGTTGAAAGTTGACCACCCACATGTTACTTCTCCAGGGATCACTAAATGTTTGATGGCACTGTAATTACACTTAAAGGAGGGTGTTGTCAAGAGGGACTTGTTTATTTATTTAGAACCAATCTTGTTTGCAAGAAAACCATTGATTTTACAGTTGTTTTGGAGCAGCTGATGAACACTGGCTCAAGTTGTGATATTTCAGCATGTTTGCTCTAAAACATGGATGTTTTGAAGGGAAGTAACTATATGATTCAGTTGTTTATTTCTATCATTTATTTGTGTTTGCATATACACATGCATGTGTATGTCAACAAGAACCAAGTGATGGAATCAATCAACAAAAAAAAAACTGTGATACAATCATTGATGTTGTCACATGGGATTTTGCAACCATCTTCTATGATTATGTGTCCACCAGCATCTTGGCTATCATATGAGCCCCATAAAAAGGACAACTCTCAACAACAACAACAAAAATGCCAATGGCAACACTTGCAAGGATGTTGAAGTGTGAGTGTGTGAGGATACGTAGAGTTGGAATTTTTCAAGGATGCGGGGGTTGATGTGCATGATTGTTCTATAGGACGGACAAGACATGAGGCCGTGCCCTCACCCACCTCTTTCTTTCTTTCTCAGATTCCTCCCCCATGCCCTGTCCCAACAACCAGTGGTTGTGCCCCTTGTTGGAGACCATACACACACGCACACCCACAGTTTAGGAAAGTTACATATATCTATATATATATCTATATATATATCTATATATATATCTATATATATATCTATATATATATCTATATATATATCTATATATGTGTGTGTGTGTGTGTGTGTGTGGACATATATATATAGAGAGAGAGAGACATATATTTATATGTGCAAAAAGAAGTGAAATAAAGTGAAATTGTAAAACGAGAGAGACTTCTTCAAAGTTGATGGTATATTTGACACGTTGTTTCCCAGGTACTTGCTTTCAGTGCACCCACGTGTAAATAAAAAGAAAAATTAATATAGTTGTTATTGCTGTTGTTGTTAGAGTAAAAAAAGAAAAAAGAAAAAAAAATTAAAAAAAATGTTCTCGTTACATTGAGGACATTGTTTTCAAAATACCATGCATATGCATATATGCATGCATGTTGAAGTAATGAAAAAACATACTCTTGTTAAGGCATTTTTTTTTAATACCTAAATAATAGTAGCGAGGAGTTTTTTTTTTCTTATTATTCTATAAGGTGGTTGACAAGTAGGTCCCACTATAAAAAGTACATGAAAAAACTTGCACTTTTCTTGTGGATGTTTTGTTGTATGTTTTAGTGTGTTTCTTTGATTTAAAAAATGGGTGTTAAATAATATTATTTGTGTTCATTTTTCTACCATCTTATTCTTTTTTGTCTTGTCATGTGCCATGCAATGTGGGCACCACCACCAAACTTTGAATCCCCATCCATTCACATTTGAATACAATTGTGGAAAAAAGGGATCCCAATACTATACAAAAAGCCTACTCCATTTATCTCAAATATTAAATGAATGGAATAAATAGAGATGGGGAATATCAATAAACCCATAAATAAAAATAACAAAAGAGATGGGAAGAGTGAAACATTGGTTTTCATATGATGATGATGTTGGGAAAAGTGATGGCAATAAGAAATGTTTTAGAATAAGAATATATATGAATGAATAAATAAATAATAAAGAGGAAGAAAAAAAAAGCCATGATCATTTTATGTGTGCTGTACAAAAGTTGCATCTCAAAAACAATTAAAATGAATTTGATTGAATTTATCAATCACAAGACTGCCAGTAGAATGTATATATATATATATATATTCTTGTGTCCTATGTTTAAGACTCAAAAATCCAATGAAATGAAAATAATATCACTTATAATGTAAAGTACGGTTGTATTTGTTGGAGAATTTGTAGAAATTGTGTCATCATCATTGAGTAAGAATTGGTTATGACTACACATTTGTCTAAAACTATTTGTACGGTGCAAATAAAAATCTTACAATTTTCCTTTTCATAACCTTATATATATATATTTTTTTTCTATTTATCTTTCAACTTGGAAAGTTGTTTTTGATAGTTAAATATAATGTTTGAAAGTAACAAAGATTTTTAGAAGGTGGAACCAGCAGTGGAATAATGCCTAAAATTTGTTACTATTTTTCTTTTTGTTGGTGTTGTTGCTATTGTTGTCCAACACATTTCTATTCACAGTAAACATTGAAAGAAAATTCATTTCTCCCATGAAAAAAACTGAACCAACCAACAACAACAACAACAACAAACATCTCTACTTAATTACAATCAATCAATCAATCAATTTCACCACAATTGAACCAAAAAGCACAAAACACACAAAACAAAACACAAAAAGGAAACATGGTAGGGGTAAGACGAAGACAAAAACAACTGCAATGTCAAAGTCGCTGGCATCACTACAGACACTCTTATTGATCTCTCACTTTCTTCATTCAGTTGTTCTACACCACAATCCACACACGAACCTCTTGTTGTGGGTGTGTGTTATTTATTTATTTATTTACTTTGTTTCTTGGTTGGTGCTTCTTCTCATGGTTTCTACAGAATTTTCACTTCTTCTTCTTATTATTCTTCTTTGTCTTCTTCTTCTTCAACATCTCGTTACATCCAAAAAGTGTCAGGAGCTGGCTTGACTTCGAGAAGTGAATTGGGTGGCCACAAAAGCTCGTAAACATCATCCCCTTCCCCTTCCCCTTCGCTGCACTACTACTACTACTACTGGAGAAATGGATTCTCAAATCCACACCCTAAATCTATTGCTCAGGTGCAACAAAAGAAAAAAAAGAAAAAAAAGAAAAGAGAGAGACTGCAGTGCACAATCAAGCACTCTTATTCATTCAATTCATGCCCATCCCTCTGCAAAGAAAAACAGAAGGATGGACGAGGAGGAGGGTGAGCTACATCAGATACAGATACAGACACCGTATCAGCAGCATTGCCAGTGGAGGGCCCCATTTCATATATATATATATATATATATTTATTTATTTATACATGTTTTTAATGTCTTTTGTAGTTGAACAGACTCTCAGTATGGGATGCACCTGGCAATTTTGTCTGTCTACCATTGCGACCATCAACCCAATCTCCGTATATTTTATCATCACCGTATATAGTATATCCCATTCCCATTCATTCAGTTCTCCTGCACTACTATTGTGGCACTACTTCTACTACTTCTACTTCTACTGCTACTGTATGTTTCTCATTTGGACTGTACCCCATTTGCAAAAGTCCACCATGTGGAATTAGTAATTGCAGCAATCCAAAGTCCACACCACACATCATCATTTTGTATGCGTATTCATTAAACTGTTCCAGTTGTGCATTCCGCGAAAGGGAGGGGATCGCTTTAGAATTCGCCACCAATTTTTAATTTGATTTGCCCCGCACCACTGCGTACAAGTTTTGTGGGGTTCCTTTTTTCTTCTTTTTTTTCCTTTTTTTTTTTTTTTTTTTTTTTTTTTTTTTCCTTTTCTGTTTGGGGGTGACAAAGAGAGGTCACCACTCACAAAGGAATGGTGAGAAAACACACACATGTTGATTTGATTTTATTTTATTTTATAATTGGTTGAATTAAGGTGCAAGGTGCCATATTTAAAGTTGTAATAATAAATATAGAGGAATGTTAAATAAACCCAGAGTTTTTTTTTATACTAAATTGACTTACTCATGATGAAAAACAAATGGCCTCTAGATTCATTTCTCCACTATTGGATCCAAAACCAAAGAAAACCAACCACATTCATCATGATTACCATATTCTTTGACATGGGTAGGTCAATTTAGAAAAAACATGGATCTATTTAGCATTCCCTTGAATAAAAATAATTTGGCTCATTTTGCAAAATGTTTTTCATTCTATAATATCACTAAATGTCAAGACTTTAAAAAAATGTGTAAATATATATAATAATAAAATCTCTTCACTAAACATTCTTGTAAAGTGTATTGTGTAATAACCTTTTCAAAGTAGTCTTCTTTTATGTAAATCCAAAGACAATCCTTTGCATTTCAACTTGTTTCAACTTGTTTCAACTTGTTTCAATGGCATTTGTAGAGCTCGAGAGGGCTTGGCTGATTCTCTAACCAAATGAGTTCACAAGCAAATGCAACCCTAAATGTTTTACACATGAACCATTACATGGGGACACACTCAATCATGAAGTTAGGGTTCCCGCAAATGCTAAAACACCTAATTTCATGCATGTCATGTGGCAGGGGATCAGGTTCTGTGTTATTCATTTTAAATGAGGGGGGGGATACAAAAACTGGGTGGTGCTCCCTGGCATTGAAAAAGGGCTTGTTTGAAGGTTGCGACAGGCTTTTTGAGGTGATTCAGGGTTTGTTGCATCGCGTGCTTTTTAAGTATACTTTATTTTGCGTGGACCCAAATGTATCTATATTATAACCCGCTTACTAAATATGCCATATACCTTTTTCTTGTTTGGCTTTCACCAAATTAGAGAGAGCTTGCCACATCGTTGTTTAAGATGGTGTTGGATGACATCTCCTTTTTCACATGCCTTTTTGAAGAAATATGCAAATTTGGGCTAATATCAACAATTTTATACTTGGACTTCATACTTTCCTAGCCTTGGAGCTGTGTCATGCATGTTTATATTTAGAATAAAATATCATTGGTATACAACAAAAAGTAATGAATGATGCATTAATAGACAATTTCCATAAATTAACCAAAATCATTATTGAAACGCTGCCAAATCATTGTCATTTGCCTCTGCTATTGGGATAAGTAGATTATTTTTGCATAGTTTGTCTTAAATCTACTTTGATTTCAAACCATGTTAAATTTAATTATCCAATTTTGGATAAGTAATGAATTTGTAAGAAGCCCCCCTTTTTTCTTTTTCTTTTTTTCTTTTCTTCTTCCTGCAACAATTATCCTTCTCATGGTGAAATGTTCTTTTTGTCAACAAAACAATAGAATTTTAAACATAACACATTCAGAGATTGGCCATTTAAACAACAAACCAAATTTGATGTGGTGAATTGATGTTAAGGATTCTTAATTTTGATTTATTGGTTGATTGAGTTATTATTATTTTTTTGTTCAATTGGCACATACATACATGTAGATGTGGTTTGAATACCAATTTAAATTATAACATGTGTATTTTATTCTTATCATTAGAGAAAGAACGAACACCCCCATTTCATTATTTATTGTACACTATTGAATTGTAGATTCTATTTAAAACCCATGACAAAGTCAGTTTTTGTGCATAAATGTATTGTTTGCATAAATAAGAATAAAAAGTGGACATTTATCACAAAAGAATGACTTTCAAAGACTTCAACGATAAGCCATTTTGTCCTCATACACACAAGAACCACAAAGACATCCCACTTACCCAACCAATGACCATAAAATCACAACACTTGCAAGAAACCACAATGTAAATTTTGCAACCCCTCATTCAACTTCCCTAAAAAAAACGATAAAAAATAAGAAAAAAGCATTTTGATTGTTCACAAAATGCAATAAACAAGAGCACCACCCAAAGAAGCCCCCACTCAGTTCATCCAAAACGACAAATAGTTCCCATGGATGAACGGTCGTTCGTCGAGTCGGATGAAAATAACCGACATGGAATATTACCCTAAAACGGAATATTCTAAAAGCGGCACGTCGGAAACGGGACCAACCAATGGATGAAACTGCCGCCATGAAAACGGGCACGACCAGGGGCAGGGAAACGGGCAGCGGGCAGCGGACAGAGGAATAAAGAGAAAGAGGAAGAAGAAGCAGCGGCGACGACGACGACAACGACGACGTTGGTGCGGTAGGGAGGGATGCTTCATGGTCGCAGCATCGTGAATAATCCATCCCTCACTGCGCGCTTCGCCCTTGATCCCTGCACTGTGTGATTGATTCGTCGTTGTCGTCATCGCCGTCGCCGCTGTGGGGAGCTTGCAGTGGTGGTGATGGTGCTGGCCCTCCTGTGTCACTTAAGGGCCGGATGAGAGCCGTGTCGATGTTGCTGCTGGTGCTGCTGCTTCTGCCGGTTTTGTCTTCCTCGTTTCGTGATGAGAGAGATGCGGGGGTGGAGTGTGTCAGATTCGGGTCAGAGACATGTCAGAACTTGACCAGCAGTAACTGGAGATGGTCTGCAGTCAGTGGCTAGCGCTTGCGTCGTTGCGCTGCCTGCTTTTGGGGTTGTAAGCAGGTGTTCTTCCCTCGGAGACCAGTTGAGCCGTCTTCGTCTTTGTCTTCGTCTTCTTCCTCCTCCTCCTTCTTCTCCTCCTCGTCGTCGCTGTTATCATGGGTTGTGTGCGTGTGGCCTTCAATTAGTACCCAGGGGTTGGTGAGTGTAGCCGCGTCCATTCAGGCCTGTTTTTAATTGTTTCTGAGACCCCTTGGGGTTTGTTGTGCTGGTGCTGAGGAGAGTGTGTGCGCCTCGGGTAGGTTTCGAGGGTTGTGTTGGATGGAGTTTTATGGTTGTGTTGAGTGTTTGAGAAGAGGGGAATTGGGAAAGCTCGATTGAAGCCGAGTGTGTTGAAGGCTTGGAGGCGAAGGTGGTTGCGTGTCCTTGGCTGAGTAGGGGTTAGGGGTTGCTTGGGGGCGTGAGGGTGGTGTCAGAGTTTGGATTAGGAGAGAAACCAGAGTGTGCGTTGGTATTTCTTCTCAAGTTTGCTTGTCGGCTCGCGATCGTAGGTTTTGACGAGTTCATTCTGGTTTTGTCTGATGGGTGTATTTCGGAAGGTCAAGATCTTTGTGGTGTAGCGGAGAGCAGTTTTTGGTTGTGCTTAGTTCGTAGTGCTGCATTCTCACTCAGAAGAAATGGAATAATGGGAAATAGCAGTCACTGTTTACGAGGAATTAGTGTGTCAGCAATGATCGTGTGCTTTGGGAGCCACTGTAGAAAAGAAGAATTACGGAAATAAATCTACGTGTTGTGTTTGTTGAGAAACCTAGTGTTTGGAATAATGAATCAGACCGCAGTGTATGTTTGTCTAGCTTGAGAGGGACGCCCCATTCTTATTGCCATGATTCTGCTTCACTCTTTCAATTTCCGCTAACACCCGAATCGCATTGTTTTATGCGATCGTCCGAGATACCGGCATTTTATTTAGCTGTGAATCTGTTACAGGAGGAGCTTGGGGTTCTCTTGCGTTGCAACCAAGCCAGTAATTCATTCTTGGAAAGCCTCGGACGTGTTTCGTCGGCAAAGGCGGTAATCCGAATATTATCATACTGCTATTCAGAAAAGCTTTGGCTGCGATCCTTGATTGCAGTTGCTACTAAGCCGAAGCACTGGAACCCGCAGGTACCATTTTCTCCTAGCGCTCTGCTTTCATTGTCATGTTCTGCACATTGTGCTCCATCATTTTGTGTCTGCAAACCTCTGTTCTAGGTGTGGACAAGAAAGTAACACATATCATACTTTTACAATTTGAATAAGGGACTCTGAAGCGTTGATTAGCAAGGCAATGTGTCATCAAAGCCTCCGCACTCGCGCACACACATACACACGTTTATGTTTGTGTGTTCAATTGGGTTTCACTCGCTACAAAGTGAATGCTAACATGTTGTGTTGTGAGGTTCAGAGACTGGTTAGGATGCAGTCAGGCACATTTGGCGTCTATCTGGACTGTGCAGAACGTCACAAGGACATGGTTATCTTCGGTAAGCAAATTGTACCTGAACGATTCCTGTTTTGACAGAACTTGGTAATAAAGTTTTAGAGCTATATGCTTCCTAGGATTCATTTATTTGATGTCATTCTATAGTTCACGTGAAATGACTCTATCACCATCTTCCTATAAGCTTTGTGTTTTTCATTTTGGTTTACTTGTTTTACTTCAAGATATTCGGGATCTAGAAGACAATATATCATGGAGTAACTCAATGCAAGTGTGTCTGTATCTGGCTTGTTAGGCACGAAGCTAAGTTCGGCTACAGAAATTGATTCGGTTTTCTAACCGGAAGTACATCATCTGGGCTGCAGGAATCTGAACAAATGTCAAAGGTGAAAGCAAAGACTACCAAAGTGGAGTTGCCTCTGTCGTGATGCTGCCGAAAGAGAAGGCTCTGTTTCCATCATAGTTTCGTAACGTCTGTTGGTTTAAATCTTCGACTAATGTTGCGGCATATCACATGCGCACATCATCATCATCATCATCATCATCCTAGGTTATCAGGAGTTTGTGTTGGTATCAGTTACCTCCCCCTAAAGCTTCTCACTTTTACAGCAGGTTTGCCCAACCTGTGGCCCAGGTTTGGCTGTGGTGGAAAGAGGGGTAGAACTCTGAATTGATTAGAAAAGAATTCGGTGGGAAGTCTGTTAAGACGGCTAGGCTATCTATTCCCACAGAATGAGTTTTGAAGCTATCGTCAAGGTGTTTAACGAGTTTTCGTCTCGTAGTAGTTTTACTTCGAGTGATTTGGTCGTAAAAGGCGGAGTCTGTCATCAGATATGGTGAATCTTCTGGTTGTGCTCTTGTGACTTGATTGACGCTTTACTCTGCACCGGGGGCCACTTCATATCTGAAGTACGTAATTTTGTTTTGTTGTACTATTATTATTATTATTATTATTATTATTATTATCTTGTGTGTGCATGTATGCGCATGTAGTATTGCCGGTCGACTTGCTACCTTTCTGTCGGTGTTCTCATGAAGCGTCTATTGTATACCGAAATCTTTTTGACTACCATCGAGACCATGCGGAAGCTCAGATCTAAACGTGTTCTTTGCAGATTGATCTAGACGGTCTCACTCTACATTTTCTCTCCATCTTTTGACATTTCTTATGACTTTTCACACTCGATTTCTTTTGGTTGTTTTTCTGTTCTCTACTTTAATGTTTTCGATTTATCTGTGTAGTTCAAAGTCCTCGTGAAAAACAATTGTACACTCGTCTTTGTGCAGAATCTGTTGGAGGGATTTTGGTCCACACCTGGAAGGAGAGATGGATAGGGCAGCTCCAGAGGGCCTCTCCTGTCGTAAAGGCGCAGTTCTTGATGCAAAGATCTGGAACAAGCTGCCAGAGGAGCTTCTTGAGAGAGTTCTCTTGTATGTGCCGCTTCAAACCCTTGCGAGGTTTCGCTGTGTCTGCACGAAATGGAACAAGTATGTACTAGAAGACGGTTTTACGGATTTGCGGGAACAAGTCTCACCACAGAAGCCATGGGTCGTGATGACTTCAACTAGTAATTCTATGTTTGCTTATGATTCCGGTGAGTATGGCAATCCCTCCCACTTCTCTGATGTACATACTCCTACAACCCTCTGCTTTTTCTTTATCGGATGTACCTAGTTTCTCTGAAACTATCACTGCATTCTCTCTCCGCTCTGACACGCCCTGCCCTTCTTTTGCTATAGGTCTCGGTACTTGGCATGACGTGCCCATCCCGTTCAATGCGTACAACTTGCACGTTGTCGCCGCAGCGGGGGGTTTGCTGTGCTTCTCCAATGCATGGTTCCACGGGCCAAGCATGTTCGTGTGTAATCCAATGACTCAAAAATGGCGCCAACTGTCACCCATGAATACGTGGATGATTTCCACAGTGGGCATGGTGTACGATGACGCCACCGCTACTTTCAAAGTTCTCGTCTGTGGTCGGCTTGAGAATCACACAATGATCACAGAGGTCTACGACTCCCAATCAGATGGTTGGACCCTCAGCGGCACCCCATTCCCAGCCCGGAAGTATGGAGGTGATACTTCTCTGTGGTGTGACGGTATCTTCTACTGCCTCACATACCCGTTTTCAACACTCTGCCTTCTCTCATACGACCTCTCCCAGGGCACATGGCGTGAGGTTCCGATACGCATGCCATCACCAATCATGTCACCGTCTCTCGTGGAATCCAGAGGCAAGCTTCTGTTGGTCGGGGGTCTGGAGGAGCAAGAAGTGTTTGGTATTCAGATCTGGAGTCTGGATACCGTTAAGCAGGAGTGGGAGGAGCTGGAGCGGATGCCCTCGCAGCTGTGCAAAGAGTTCGAGGCCAAGATGGTGCCTAGCAAGCCCCTCTCGTGCTTTGGTACTGGAGATTCCATCTTTCTCAGCATCCCCACCAATAACTACATGCCTGCTCTCATGTTTGACCTCAAGCGCCGGACGTGGGATTGGTGGCCAGTGTCTGATTTCCCGGCCACGCTTCCCGCAGTCAACATTGGCCAGTCTTGTGGGATTAGCTTTGAGCCTCGCCTTAATGCATACGTCTGAATTCGTATGGTAATGAGGTAGCGTGGTTTACGTAACTCTAAAGTAAAGATAAACGGGGTTTTCGTCTGGGTTAAGTGGCAACAAATGAGATGGTAACTTGGGATCTGAACCCGAGAGAGATTCCAGACTTTTTAAATGCAACAATTGCCTCTTTTCTAACTGAGAGGGGGGATTGTAGATGGGTGGTGGTTGGTTCTCTTCTCAATCCAACTGAAATCCAGACATATGTGTTTTCCTCATCAAGACTGCCGCCATCTGAGAAAGACAAAACAAAAAAACAAAACAAAAAATCCTTTTGTTCAATGTCTCTTGGATTCAAATCCAAGTTCACCGTTTCTAAAACATCAGCCGATGTTTCAGAAACATCTCATTTTCCTAACCGTCGGTGGAATCACCCCATGAAAACCAGATGTAAAGCTACAAACCAGCACAGTGAATCATTGCTAGATCGAAGCGTGGTTGCAGATAGACTTCTATGCATTGCAGCAAAAGTGTGTAGATTCAAGTACTGTTGGATTTTGTTGTATCCCTGTGAATAAGTTGCTCACAGGGGGGTTGAACTGGATCTCTTTGTACAAATGCACAGTGCTCATCTCGTGTTTTTTTACTTTCCTCATGTGGGTCTCGAGTTATTGATAGTTTCTTAGTGAGGGAAGAAGAAGGGTCCCGTGCTGGCCTCACACAATGCTTGTCTTTGGGTTCTTCCTACATGTGTGTTTAATATACTGATGGAAGTGCTTCCTAAACGGTTATTTGCAAGGACTTATAAGTGGATTAGTGGTACGTTTGCAAATACTTGATGCTTTTCCTTCTCCAGCTTTGAGAGCACATGACCGGAGGGATCTGAGTCCAGGGCTGGCTGGCTTTATGTCGTATTTGAGGGTAAGGGGTATGTTTTGTTTTAGAAAACAAAGTTATTATTAATAATAATGAAGGTTTGCAGGTGAATGACAAGTAATGAAGAGCAAAATAAATGTCAGAGATAAGTCTTTTATTTTTGGTTGTGTTTAGGTTCATTTTATCACCTAGAATATTAGCTGGAATTTGCTGGATTCGCTTTTTGAAGAGAAAGAATTATCAGTGTGTAAAGCCTATCTCTATGCTCAATAGCACAAGGTTTTGCTAATTTGAAGTAAATAAATAAATAAATGAAGTGGTAAGTTTAGGGTAGAAAGATAATTCTACAATAATGTTAAAAGAGAAAAAATATCAATAAATTTTTAATTAGTATTTTTTCTTGAATTACATAGATTTATATATTTTAGAAAAGGAGAATTTTTGCTTGTGTACAACTTTGTGTACTTTCATCTAAAATAGACTTGCAGTATGGTCAACTTGGCAAAATAATTTTGCAATTATTATTATTGTTGTTATTATTACTATTATTTGCATGGTGTTTGTAATCCGTTCTTACTTGTATATTTCTTTTGTTTTTGTGGTTGAAGGCTACAAGTTAAGGCTACAGAAGACAACTATCAATTTTTTACCAATGACTTTCTTGCATATTTGTAATTTAATTAATTTTCTTTGGTATTTGGATTTTATTTTGAATGTGTTAAGTTTCATGCATAATGGATACTTGATATTTCAGGTTAATTATATGATCATTTTAAGTTCCAAAATTTTAACCATTTAAAAAAATCCTGCTGCTATGAAAATTTAAGTTCATTCAGAAGGCTCATCATACAGAATTGCTTTCATAACAGTGGTTTCAGTACCAAAAAAACTGCATCCCTTAAGGATTATATGTTAAGGGATGTAGTTTTTTCAACACCGACTTTCCCCATCAAAGTTTGATGTGCAAAAGCTCTTGTCAACTATATCATAAAACCTTAAAGGTACTACAGTTTTATACCAAGTCATCGATTGAAGCTCAGGGTGACAACCCTGAATCTATCATCATGTGGCCATTGTGTAGCAGTTCATTGCTGTTTTGCAATCACAAGCCTTGTGGGTCCTATTGGTTGACAAGTAATTCATTAATTTCAATAAATGGATGCAATTCTATTGAACAACTATAATTAGAATAATTGGTTTATAACTGGCAACAAGATTTATGATAATTGATTTAGTAATTACAAATTTGATGTCATTTTAGTAATTTTTGTGACTTTGTGGTCTATATGACTGATTCTTATAACTAATCTGTATGACTTAACAATTGAAAGAGTGTTGCTGCATGTATATAGTTATTATTCTATTTAGAATTATATTTAAAACTATTTAATATAACTTGGTTGTATGTAATATAAAGAAGTATTAGTATTCTAATATGAATGCATCCTAATGAAAAAGTCTTTACAACTAGACCTTGTATAGAACTCAAAGTTGTGTTGATTAGAATGTGGAAGTTAGAATATTTCTTTATTAATCATATAGTGCACATATCTTCACTGTGCCATTCTTTTTGCAGGTTTCACTTTTGCTTCACAAAAACTTTGCACAAATAGCTTAAAAGACCATTCTTGGATAAATATAGGATCAAATGAAGTAGACTCGAGCAAGTCAAATATTCTATCAAAATTTAAATATTTACCAAACTCATGACAACTATAACATTTAAGTTGCAATTAAATCAAATACTTGAATGTGAAAATAGAAAATTATTTTAAATAATGATTAAAAAATGCTTTCAGTTCTCTATCCTCCTCAAAGGTGCTACAAGATGCAACAACCAAAAAATAGCCATCTTTGTTAAAAGCTAGTGATCAACTTTAATAAAATCAACATAATAAATTTCAAATTTATCTTATATACCTAATTAGACATGTATTCAGCAATTGATGACCTAGTAACATGCATTTGACATACATTATTATCAATATAGAATTTATATGAGAATATTTGTGTACCTAAAACAAAGCATTTCAAACATGAGTATTAAAGATGCACACATTTCAATTAATGCTACTTGTGGCAAGTATCCCAAGCTTGCAAAATTTTGAGATTAGATCAAAAATATAAACATATTATTATCAATTGTCTAGAAGATAACAACTTCTGAATCTTATGACTAAGTACTAGTATAAAAAATAATTCTTATCAAGATCTTGATCACTTGAACTTTATATTAAATTAAATGCACATTGACATACAAAGACAAGCCATCTATTTAATTTTACACATTTTGAGTTGTAATTATTTAATACATACCAAGAATCAAATTATTATGCATGGAATATTGATGAAGATGTTTAAATACTTCTAATTCACAAAATGTCAAGTACATTATTGTCAAATCAATATATTCATTACTAATAGAGTGTAAGAGCATTCACTAAGTAACATATGATTTCACCTCCTTTGTCTTTACAATGACATTTAAACATGCACTTGCATTGTATAACTAGGATTACAATGGAAGTAACTCAAATGTCACTTAAATTACAAACTTCAAATTTTGGTATGCTAAATTTCTCAATTATTTGGCTTCTAATATTTTTCTAATGTCATAAATCAATATATAGTTGTTAAATTCTTAAATAAATCTTCTCAAAAATAAATACCTAAATATATCAATGAAATATAATAGAATGTGTGGTACTTGCTTAAAAATCTAATTTCTACTTATCAACCTTCTTGGCCTCTTAAAAATTTTTCATATGTAACTAACACAACAAATTAAGTTTATTATAGTAAATCTTCAAAAAAAGAAAAAAATAACCAATTTCCTAAACTAAAAATATATGCTAATTTAATATTATAGATGATAGTATGTACAACACTTTTAAATAAAATTAATGAAATAATAAATATTAAAATTTAAATTTAAATGAACAAAAATTTATTGTTCTATATAAGTTGATCACCAAATTTCTCTTCTTTTTGCTAACTTCTTCAAAAAAGAATTTTATCTAGCTAATTCTTTCCACTCCTTTTTTCTTATTATTTTTTTTTATAATCCTATATTTTAATCTTAAAGTCTTTTATAAACTTCTAATTTTTCTTAATCTAAATATATTCTTTAAAATAGTATTTTTTATAAATAAAAAGTCATAATAGAAAACTTCAAGGTAGAATAGGAAGAGGCCATATTATTTTTTGTTATCAATTCAAATAAAAAATCATGCAATGATGCACATACATATGATTTTATTCATCTTATAGTAAAGAAGGAAAATACAAACTACCCATATTAGGTCCTTTTATAAAAACACTTTTGTTTTACATTCTTCTAACATAAAATGAGTAGTATTTCATATATTTTATCTTCTCTTATACACCTTCAAGTTTTTTCTTTGAGCATGATCGATGGTTACAAGCTCAATCTTTTAGTAACTTTGATCCATTCTTATTGCTTCTACCTTCATCTCTTATCTAAGAAAAATCAAAAGATTGGAACATTAAGGCATAAGATTTAATAATAGATAGATTCAAATAATTGATTACACATAATTACCATAGAAGGCCTACTTTTGTTTATGTAATGGCACTCAAAAAAGATTTGTTTATAGAAGTATTTCAAAAATAAGACAGATCCAAAATGAATCCATAAATTGTGCTTTAATATTACATTTTCTAATACTATGGATATATTGCCTGCTTATCATTGGTTTAATCTGAAAGCTTCTCAAACTAGGATGTAATGAGCAAGTAATTTTAAGTAAGTATGATTTCTATTCTGAGGAAAAAGTACAAATTTCACTCAAAATAGTTATTTAAAAATATCACTTACTTGTATGTTCTTATTTATATATGCATAACAAGAAAATTTTAACTTATTACCTAAACTTTGCTTGCTCATTTTTATTTGCAAAGGAGTCTTTTAAGCTTGTTACATTCTCCATGAGGTTCTTAAAAAGCAGATTATTGATTCCATGAATTTTATCTTCATAGAAGGGTTCTAATTTACTACCATTGAAATGATCTCAAAAAGCCATATAATTATCTACAGTATACATGTTTTTAATTCTGCATGAATTTCAATAGCTAATTCAAGGAATACTTAATCTACTTTGAATAATCTTCTCAATAAGAATAATACTCCAAACCTTTATTCCATGACCTCAAAAACAAAGAGTTGAATGGATTGTTCACTCTAAGATTTCTACGTAGTATTTCCAATGTCATGTATCCAAACATTCCAATTAATAAGAAGACTCTGGTATCCCAATTTCATATGTTCCTATAAGAGCCTCATAACCTGCACCATCCACACAAAAACATCCACAATACCAATTAAAGAACAATTAGAATTGAGTTTATACCAGATTTGCAAAATGGAAGATGAATAAGACTCTATGATGAAAGCAAAAACAACAATCCAATAGCCATCTACAACAAATCACACACTCATAGAATTCTACAACTCTTTAGAAGCAAAAAAGAAAATTGTAAGATCATGGTTTTGTTCTACAACCTAACACATGAAAGTGAATTACACACACCATTTAAATCACAAATAGTTGTGTATCTTTTTAAAGCTTCAAGACAAGCATCTCTATCATTGTGATATATATTAAACTCACTTAAAAAAAATTAATGTTGTAACTTGTAAGGATCACAACCACCAAAATTAGTCCACAGTAGAGTCTTCAAATCCTAAATATTTCTTTTGCTTAATTATATTAGAGATAGTGTATTTCAATAAGTACATCAAAATTTGGATTGAT